TTTACTAAAATTTAGAATATTTTGTTTCATTGTAGAGTTAAAACAATTAGATTTAGTGTAAGATTTATCGTATCTCATTTTGCTATTTACATCATATGAGAACTTTAAGATCTTTTTATGATACTCTCGAGGTAAGAAGTGATGATCGAAGGTGATATTACCTGTCCTTGCAATGAATATTTACATGTTTACTTGTACATGCATTCTCGATCAATGTCTGCTTGCACAACACATGACTTGTATTGTCGGAGATATTCTACTAGGTAATTATGATAAATCTTGATTTGTAAATGATACGCTTAATAACAAGATGAAAATAATTAAAAATCCATCTCATGGGAACTCACATAAAACAGTAGCTTTTTTCTGCCAGTGTTGCCTCTTTAATTATCCATAGATATATAGATATTTCCACGGACGACAATCATATAATATATATAATTGAGAAGTTTTCGAGGAGATTAGCGAGAGTATCGATCTAGAGAGTATCTATCAACTTACGGCTTTATGATGTAAATTCAACAAAAAGTGATGGAAGACGTTAGAGAAAACGGGACAAACTTTGGTCGACTGAGTTACTAAACATGAGACATCTTGTCTCGTGAACTCGTGTCTGTGGCAATCACGGTTTTCGTCATTGACGGACAGTAACTGTATAGTTCGCACTGTGCAAAAAAATCTAGACACTGTCTGTGTCTTCTGTTTTCATGTCAAGGTAATTAGACGTTTCATCACATCATCATCCTACGAGCGCGCGACATTATCTTGAAATTGAATAATCGCTGCAATCGCCCATCTCTCCGTGAAGTAGTACGTATCTTTCTCTAGCTGCTCAAAGGTTTTACAGTGTTGGTATAAAACTCACTGTTTATGTACTCGCTTTTGGCAGAAATATATTATTGGCGATATTCATTCGTCGTCGCTTATTCGCAAGAATCTTCGCATATATTAGTGCTTCTTTCTAATATTAAGCGGAGCCTCATGACAACGGTCCACTTGCTTGGCGTGATTTATGCGATATAGGCATTCCTCCAAGCGAAATGCCTTCAGTCGTCGACATCGAACGTATATTACGGATCTAGCCGATCCAAACCGGCTTTCACCAACGACAAATCGCCTTAATTCCACCGGTTTCTGGTGCTGGGTCAGTCAATTCATTTTCATGATCCAGATTTGCTAAGGAGATTAGATTAAGACCCGATAAATCGTTGACCCTTCTTTACATCTTCTGATCTTACATACAGCGAGGCCAAAGACCGAAAATTTTACGTTTCTAAAAAATGATGCAAAGAAAAAAACAGGACGTACTGACGGAGCCACATTAGTATATTCTTAGAAAAAAATCTCTTCCAATGAATTTCTATATATAGAATAATTTGTGTAGATTTATAATATGTTACAGCTAAAGCCAATTTGCAGAATTAAGAGAAATCGAATAAAGCGCATAGGGAAATAAAAATTTTTTATTTCATATATCTCTTAAGGTTGATATAAAGTTAATTTAAGATACGATTTTTTTTGAAATATTAATATATTTTTTAATTATTAAATATATACATTTACATTTTATAAAATGTTTTATTTTATTTTTTTATTCGTAAAATAACAATTTTTAACAATTGCATTAAATGCTTCTCGAAGAAGATATAATTCAGAGCATTGTTTCTCATTTAGTCTATTTTTACTTACTTTGACAATTATTTCTTTTATAATAGTCATTAGTTATCTAGTCTTTTGTATATAGTCTTTACTTTGTCATTGTACAAAAATATGCGTGCGTCGACCGATGCTTCGCAATAAGAGTAGAAAAACGTCACGTTGATTATTTGGACGTGCGGTTGTAACGAAGCGTGTCTATCTCTGCGCCGCATAATTTTCACTGCTAGTGACGCAACAGAATAGGCACGCGATTTGCCACGTTTGCGGTTTAATAAATCCACCCGCGTGCACGACGCAATTTTAATAAAGTTATCTGGCACACGAATGAAAATATCTTGATGTCGATACAGCACGAGGAATAAGTTATAATCGTTTTGCAAAAACACTTTGATCATTTACCTTCTAAGAAACATAACAACAATAATTGTGAAATATCTGTTTTTATCATACGATTGTAATAACCTTGTGGACATTTCAATTATTTGTACAACGTATAATTCTTTCTTCTTAGCAAATTGATTAACATCGACGTGGCCTTAGACAGGCTCAATATGCTTTTTATTCGTGAAAAAGTCGATGGTAAAATTATCACGGACGCGAGTAGCAATCGCTTTTTATCGCACGGGAGATATGGCGATTGTTCAGAGAATCATACTCAATAAAGAACCGTCGAGCACGTACACGTGAAGTTAAACCGACTGTATTTCTACATTCGTCTTGATACATTTCTTCTGACATAGGTTAATAATATTTTGTATTTCGTTATAATATTTATTATTTGATATTTGAATTTGAACACACGCGAGAAGTATATACTCTTAAAATAAAAAGATACAAGTTGTAAAATTGGAATATGAATTGTATTTTTTTATACGAAACTATATCATCTTTTATGTCAATTTAAAAATTAAATGATTATAACTTAATTATAATTATAATAATTCTTGCATATAATTATAATATATTGAACGTAACAAGACAAGAAAACCACTATAGTGATGTTGAAACAATATTATATTTTTAGACAAAAATACAATGAAAAATAATGAATTATTACAAATTTTAGTTAAGGAAAAGCTATAAAAGATTTAAAAAATAAATCCCACCTCTAAAAATTAATTATAATAATTATATAAATTATAATAATTATTAAACTGCAAAAGCAGTATGTGCTTATATATAATATATTCTTTCTGTTTGTTATCTTTTTATTTGAGTGATGTAATTTAATAATTATAGATTCTTATAAGATTTTATTCTTAGCAGAAATGTTAATTTATTTTGCAGATCACGCGTGCATCACAAAATTGTATGCATATCTGTTCCTTATATATTCGCTCTAAATGTACTTGTAAAATCGATCTTTTCATAGTGATTTAATATTATTGCTTCTATTTACGGCTATTTTAGGCTGATTTATTTTCTTAAAGAATAAAAATTGATCTGACATTTATATTAAATGAATTACAAAACAAGAGATGCAAGTATAAAAGATATTATCTCTTAACAGCTAATTCTGCAGACCCTTCTTCCTTAAGAACAGCACAATGAACGCGTCATTATATGCTTTTTCCTAATCGTGGCGAAAGATTGTTCGTCACTCGTAATTAGCACATACACCTGGCACTTGATTAATATTTTTGTATCATACGCATGGATATTATACATAACGAGAGGCGCCTCGTCACAGACTCGTTTAAAGATTATGCAGCCTTGCATTCTCTCTCGAAAGGTTGCTGTTTGTCACGGTGTTTATCACGTTTATGGATTCTTGTTTGTACAGAAGTGGCTTCGAGAAAGTCATAAATATGCGAAAATTAGTTCTAATAACATATTACAATATTGTCTTAATATTACAAACTACATATTCTAGGCATGCCATATAATGCTAAAAGTATTCATTAATGCAAAAACCGTGATAATTAAGTTAGCAGGTTGATCAATTTGACAAGAGACTGTCTTCACATCTTTATTTTTTCTTCATATTATTACTGAAAAAAAGAATTTGATAATAGTTATCAAATGATGAATAATTCCAATCAAATATTCCATTAGAATAACCAAAAATAAATTTTATTTTTTTAAATATTTAGTAATTATTACTAAATGATTGATTATATTATTATATTATATATGTGTGATTATTAAATTTTTAAGAAAGTAAAATTATTTTTAATTATATTACCAATTATTTAATTGAAATTCTTTTATTCAATATTTAATAGCTATTACGAGATCCTTTTTATACATGTACTTAATTGAGAAATCTACAATGATGGTGCTAAAATAATGGTGGCAAATAGGTTTTTAATCTTGTTCTTTCTAAAAAAAAGCATTGCCTTTTTTATTAAATTGACCTATATTACTAATTTTAATTGGCTATTATTTAATTGCAATAAAATATTGTAAAATAGAACATTATTAGTTGGTAAGTAAAATATATTATAACTAGAAATTGGTCTGGTAATGGTATTTAAGTATAGATTACGGCTGCATAAATCAAAAATAGACACACGCGATGCGCAGAACCAAGGCGGCAATCTGATAAAAAAACGGCACAGGAAGCAATGTACGCGATCATATCGTTGTGTAGGAAACAATGTGTGTGTAGTGCATAAAATTATATTGATGTGTATGTGTATCTCTATGTACATGAATAATTTTGTGTAACTGTATGCGTCTTATTCGCGTTAAGAACGATGACGAAACTCTCATTTATCTCGGACGCGCGTTAATCACAAGTATTCACGCAAGAACAAGTACCCACGTTTTATTGAGTATCTTAAGCATCGGCTTAAGATACTCAATAAAATAGTAATTGTAATAATATTTTGAAATAGTATTTTGTAATTTATAATTTTAGGAGCACTCTTGAATGATTTTTAAATATTATATATAATTTTTTATTTTTATATATTATATGTTTATATATTACATATAAAAACAATTTTTTATTTAATGAAAAGCGATAGACACATATTTTTAATGTATATTAAAAATATGTGTCTATCGCTTTATTAATAATATCTCATGATGTAAGCATCGTGATTATTAGCGTCAATTATTATGCAAATATCATAAATTAATCTACCGTCAATATTCGCCGACAAAAGATTACAATTTATTTTTTAACTGATTGCATTCCATCAGAATGTCATTTATACAAAGAACATTTTTATTCACGTTAAATATCAATGTGTTTTCTAATGAATGCTATAGAGTACCATTGCTTAGTTAATTTTTGCTTTTGAGAGAGGAGAAATAAATTCTGATTAATATTGTTTAAAATCCTTTAAAATCCAAAACATAAAAAACATTTATAATTATAATTATATGTCTAGGTAGCCGACACGTAAAATGGTGGCGTCGCAAAATGACGGCGGCAGAAGTATGGATGGCGGCGGTGGCGGTGGTGATGGTGGCGGCGGCGGCGGAGGTGATGACACAGTTTACACGGTGACCGTGAGCGGGGTCGGTTACAGGAACGAGGGTTACAAGGACGACGGCACCGATGGCATACCGCCGGAGCCGCAGAAGCCACCGCAACTTCCGGCAGCGGATGACGATACGCAATCGCGGAAATTCAAACTGTCGCGCAGTGAAAAATGGCGTATTTTAAAGAACATCGGCACCGTCTCCATCGCTTTTATGGTGCAGTTCACTGCGTTCCAGGGCACAGCAAATTTACAATCGTCAATCAATGCCAGCGATGGTCTCGGTACCGTCTCGCTCTCGGCCATCTATGCCGCCCTGGTGCTCTCGTGCATCTTCGTGCCCACTTTCCTCATCAAGAGACTCACCGTCAAGTGGACCCTCTGCCTATCTATGCTGTGTTACGCACCGTACATCGGTTCGCAGTTCTATCCCAAATTCTACACTCTGGTACCCGCTGGCGTTCTCCTGGGTCTTGGCGCCGCGCCCATGTGGGCTGCTAAGGCCACGTATCTGACACAAGTCGGCGGTGTCTATGCCAAGATCACTGACCAGCCAGTCGACGCCATCGTTGTACGGTTCTTCGGCTTCTTTTTCTTAGCGTGGCAGACGGCCGAGCTCTGGGGCAACCTTATCTCTTCGCTTGGTAAGTCGACAGCTTCAAGTTATCATAGTTTGGAGATAATATTTTAACATTTTGAAATCCTGTATTTGAATTTACAAGACTACGTTTATATTCAAGAATTATAATTCGTATGTATATTTAAAAAATTATTATAATATTTATAAAATTGGAATACTTAATTAAAGAGTGATAATGAGAAAGGCTTCTGACTAATAGCATAAAGATAAGGACACTGATAAAATTGATTCAAACTGTATTGATTTTATAATCGAACTTATTAAGCCTTTTCTAGCGTCATCATGTATTTATATACGTATGATTAATAGTTATAATCAGGGCTAATTACATTAATGCTCCACGAAGAATTGATTTCTGAGAATAAAAATTTCCAATCTTTATTGTTAAAGTTAACAGTGATTAACGATTTTTACGCAGTTATGATAAACCATCGTGCGTACTTTCACAAAAGCAATTTTTTTTGTCATTCACAAGCGCAATAAAAACATTCTATGCATCTCAATAATACACAGTATTCAATGCTATCGCTATCTGTTTTTCACACTCGATTACCAGCAATTCACAATATATCCGTTAACGCTGCGCAAATATTCATTAGAGTATGTGTACAGTTATGTTAGCTTATCAGCTTAAACTACGTTGTATATATTAACTACATTTCTCTCTGTAGACCAGTGATATTCAGTCTTTTTCAAGGATCGATTTCAGAAGGTCATTTTCAGAAATCTTGCGGATGATATAATGTTTATTTTGTTTGCATAAAATCAAAAATATAATTTTATATTTTTGATGGACTAAAGCAGACTGCAAAAGATTCACGCGCATCGCAGATTGAAAATCACTGCTATAACAGTTCTTAAATCAACAATACAAGCAAATCATTTTTCCCACGTTATTCTATCTAATTATATAAATTTTAATAAGCTACAAAAGTTCTCAAATCTGATTTTCAGTTGAATTAAATAATTTTCAAAATATAGAATATTTACTTATAATTAAAATAAAATGTTTTTATTTAAGTCAGATTTTGCAAGTCATATTTTACAGCAGGTGTGCGCGGTGCGCGCGTAGTAGAAATGGACGTTGCAGTCAGACAGTCTGACTCAACGTTCAGTTTTTCCCCTGCGTATATTCTCGCGTGGCTTTATACATAGCTTCCGCCGTATACGTGAGGGACAATGTAATCAGTGAGGGACTTATCGAACGAGAGAAGCCGTAAGAGCAACAGAGAGAGAATAACACGCTCGCTAAGAAGAAACAAGATTTATCCGGTATAAACTCGTGGTAGTCGGTTTCCGTACTATCTCGTACGCCTTCCCCGATACCGCATATGTTTGCATACACATACACGCATACATGCAAAGTATCATTGTATGTCAGTCTTACGTGTGAAGAAACGTTTCTTCGATTTCTTCGCTCGTTAAGTGCCACTCCTACGATTGATTTCGACTTGATGCCATTTTATAAAAAAAAAAAAGTCCGGTAATACTTTAAACGTTCTAATTATTAAATTGAAGCATAGAAAGAGCTACGGAACAGAATATATATTAAAATTAGATTCCAACTAAAATAAAATTTAAATAAACAAAAAATAAAATTTAAGTTAACATCGTTAACTAATATAGTTAGGGGAAAATAAGAATAACTAATGATAAAGTGCACATTTAAACCTTCTGTTAAACAGAATTTGATTATAAATTGATATGAACATTAAATTAATTTTATATGAAATTATATAATCTGCAATTATATTACATTAATGAAAGTACTTTCCATCACTTGTAAAACGCTACGAATTAATTCCAACACCTAATATATAATTAATATTTATTAAATATATTTATACATTTTAATAATAATGAAATATCAATTGAAAGAGTATTCCACTTTAAAATATTACTTTATGTAAGTATAACGGCTATGCAGACAAGTTCATCTTAAATCATCATCAATTATTTAATGGACAGAGAAAAGCCGATACCATTGGCGCCAGGCAACATTCGCAAATAAACAACAAAGGTCAAGATTATTTTGAGTCCTTGTCGAGGTCGACATGTGCGCATTATGCGCATGGCGCAATGGCCGGTAGTGGCACGAAGGTTACAGATTGCATATACTGAATAATTCTTCGAAATCGACGAGATCTTTATGGAATGTTTACATACTTGAAGATAACGAATTTTATATACATTATGACATCGATTATGGAAGAAGTCGATTAAATATATCACGCATCGAAGGCACTTATATAACATGATCAATTATCCTAAAAAATCCGGTTTATTTTTTCGAATTAAAGTCTTAATAATTTTAATTTTGTAATACCAAACTAATTAAATTCTTAATAATCTGTACAGTTATAAATTATAATCAATTGCATATCCCTGCAATCTAAATATCAGTGACCCAATTTTTTGCCACCTTTGGAATCAATTTTTTATCACAGAAAATTTGGAGGAAGGCCATCACTCATTTTAATATTATCTTTTAATATCTTAATAATTAGATCATGATATTGAAAATACAGTGCAAGTAAAGTTGTGAATTTAAATGAACAGTAAAATATTCTTTTATTTTATCTTGTTTTTTAACCTTATTTTAAAAGTTTGTCTTTTAAGTTATTTAATATTACAGAAATATTAATTAAATTTTTTAAAAAAAAGTTTGAATGTGAAATTGATCAAAGATACATTTGCATTTATAAATTTTGACATGCTTATATTTTGCATCTTTAATCTTCCGCTAAAACGTGTCTGATTACAAATAAGCATTTTCTACCGCGCAATCATTTCTAGTCTACGAAAAATATTAAACAATTTTACTTACAAAAATTGAAAAATGTTGAGACAGAAATTATTTATGATATTTTAAGAGATTAATGTACTACAGTACATTAATGAGAAATTGTACACTTTGTATATAAAATTATACACCTTGCAATCGCATAATTAGATTGAATGATTTCCGTGCACATATCTTCGTGTGTGTTTGCATGATAATAATGTTAAAAAACAGACATTTCCGACAATTGGTGACGATAGTGGGGAGAATCGCAAAACACGACGTAATATTATTAGCACTATTCCGGTGAAAGTTCTTCTGGTTGACGCACACGAATCGGTTAATGTAAATTTCTATAGGTATGCTGATAGGTTTTACTTAAAGTTATCGATTAATTCTTATCCCGGAAAAACGTCCGTGTGAAGTTACGAATAACATAATTCCTGACACGCCGCAGCGATAGAAGATGAAAGTCGTACGTGTCAGTAGTTCCGGTCGATGATTTAACCGACGAGAAGTGCACGGCCGTTAATTTTTCGCTGCAACGTAACACGTGCTGCAATTTGCGTTGAACGATTTCTCGATACACTCGGAAAGGTTTTATCGTCACGTAGACATACAGGGCTGGACATGTATTTAAAATATTTTTATTTAAAACATAGTATTTACAATATAGTTAAGTGTATTTTGTATTTTTTTCATCAGAGCACATGAAAATTACGAATTTTGTATTTAAGATTGAAAGATTGAAAGTTTTTTATATTTCATAATTCAAATAATAAGATTGATTGCCAATCTTAATCTTTGAAATACTTTCAATCTTTTGTTATTAATAGTGAAATACAAAATACAAAATATTTTCATGTGCTCTGCGAGTACAAAATACAAAATACAATTGTCTCACAAATATTGTTTTTCGAAAAAGTATTTCAAATACATGCCCAGCCCTGTAGACGTGTATACTTTGTTATACATTATATCACATGCGAGAAAATAACTCGTGTATGACCGGTTGCAGGTTGATGTGTTTTAGCGTCGTTGCAATTCGGGGCGCGTAGCGTGATTTCTAGTCGATGTATCTGATTCGACTCGACACATCGAATATCAACGAGATCTTTCGAGAAGGCTCCTCGTAAACGAACGCATTCGAACGCATATCGTACACTTCCTCATTAGCGACACTCGTGTGCGTGGGCCGTGTTTGCACAGCTGCCTGAGAATTTCTTTCTCCGGTTATTTGCGAGCATTTCTCTTCTGCGCTTCGTCGATCAGTTCTGTGATCCTTACTTATTAGCAAAATTTTTTCTTCAACAGGATCGTTGAGATTGAAATAACTTTTGTGGCGATATAAAATCACAAATGTGATAAGAACACAGTTAGATTTGTCACAAAACTGAAATTAGGAAATTGTCAAGGAAATTAAAAAATCAGGTCAGAGAAGTTGGATAAAAATCAGAGAATTTTGCAAAACGTTCTGGAAAATTAAAATTCTTAACTTTAAAGCAGTTTAATATACGTACATCACACCTACGCAGTTTTTGGAATATTATCAACGTAACAATTAAAAATGCAAACAGTGCTAACAATATTAATAATAATTTATATTGCTACGTTAAATTGATCTTTCAATTAATGGTTTCCAAGTCAAGACGAAATTACAAACAATTTTAAAATGTTATATATCGAAAGTCAAGGAAAATTATGAAATTTTATCTGAAAATCAGGGAAAAGTTATGGAATTTTAGAATTTGTGACAATTCTAAAAATGATACATTTTATTTATGGGGGAATTTTTTGCGTTTGCGTGAAGTGCGTGCAGAATTTTCGCGTAGAACGACTTCGCAATCTCGGCTGTCTTAATGGCGATAATAAAGCAATCAGGACACGCTAGGTTGCGATGTCTATTGCATCCCTGTCAGAGGTAACCAGTTGTGATTTACATTCGACAAAGGTCTCCTCTGACTTCACGCGCCATGAATAAAGGTACAGAATGGATCCTACCATGGGTACAACCGTGACCTCGATGTACGTCGTCACCTCCATTGGGACGAATCGATGCGCATAATCAATTTTTCGATCGTGAAAAGGAAAGGCGTAGCGTGCAGAATGCGCTAAACCGCGAATCCGCAAAATCGATTAGGGAAGATTCTTCGGCGGTGAAACTCGTCCATGAAATATTGATTTACGAAATGTTCAGCTTCGCTTTACGCGCGTGTCTAGCTCTCTTCTCGCCACGAGATCGTGTATGTCAGTTTCCGGTACGGCGTAACAGGTCAACCTCTCGATTTATCGCTCGCACACACACACACACATACACACACATTTATCGTGCGACTCTTCGAGCACTCGCTTCACACCAGCATAATCGACTTGGTAATAAATTGTTACGCGTTCCTTGCGTTATCCAAGAGTACACGCAGTTACCAGGGAGATCCTTCACGTCGATATCCTCCTACCGATTTTATTTCTCGAACGTAATATATGTGACGACTATAAAACAGCTTTCCCGTATACTTGCATCACGATGAGAAATTCAGATCTTGAACTTTGCAGAATGGTCAAAGACACACTGCAATATGGCGAATGTCATGCAGTTGCTAATTTATTGCTAATCACAAAAATACTGTGTAACTCTGTTTTAGATCTTTTATTAATAAACTTTAGATCTTTTATTGTGTATTTTTAATAAACAAAAGTCACAGTTGTTATATTTGTTTACACATTTAAATGAATATTTTTTTAATTATAAATATTATTACAATATATTTAACAATAATTGTTTTTTCTTTTAGAAGATTAACAATATAAAAATATCTTCACGGATGCGAAATATAAAGAACAATAATTATTTTCAAGTCATTCGTATAATTTAAATTTATTTTTTCCTTTAATTGCATTTTCATGAATATCATACTCTTTAATCACAAAAGTGTAGTAAAATAAGATTGATTTTCCTTATAAAAGATATTAGTAAAGATATTAAAAGATATTAAATACTTATTAGAGTAAACATTCTATCAAAAAGAAATTAAATCATTTAGCATTAATAAAGAAGGATTAAATCTTTATTAATTTATGAAGGTTTTTTTTCTTTCTCGCGCTGTGTTTTTCGTCTTTGTGTTAAATTCGAAGAAGTTTAATAGAGAAAGTATAAACGTTCGGAACCATTCAGAGGTCACTTTCAAATTTTATTATATTACATTATATTACAGTATTGAGCGATGGCGGACATTCTGGTGATGATGGCAATAGTACGACCAGTAGCTGGGAAAAAATCAAGTCGTGCGGTGCAGATTTCTGCGTCCTTGGCAACGGAGGCCACGAGAACCTGGAGCGACCACCGGAATCGGAGATCTATGAAATCTCCGCGATCTACCTCACGTGTGTTATCGTCGCAGTGATCATCGTCGCTTTGTTCGTCGATCCCCTCTCCAGGTGAGTGCCGAATATACGAATACGAAAGCCATCGGTCGTGATGTTAATTCTCGTTTTTATTGCTTGCCAATATCAAGTCGACATCGCAATACCTCGTAACAGAATAATATATTGCACGAGCAAGGCCACTCGTTGAGAAACGTTAGAGAGTAGTCGGGCTTAATAAACTTGATTCTCTACATTTTTATATGATAATTAGAGATAACGCGCCAAATGTTAATCGATCGAATTACATATTTATGTGCACAGTATATCAACTTGTATTTATCGATAATACAAATCTTCTGCTATTGGAGCTAACTAATGTTTAATATACTGCATCTAGAGAGATATCGATTAGTTATTTATTATCAGTTCCTTTCGAAGAAGGAATAAAGTTAGGCAAAATTAATGCATTTTCCTTTGGAACCATTGTTATAAATTAAAAATCATACATGCATATATTATATTACAATGTATATTTAAAAACTGAAGAAAATGAAACCAAAAATCTATTCTTCAAATTCTGAATGAATAATTCTTGTGTGAAAATTTAAAGAAAGTTTTAACTTGAATTATTCAACGTTGAAGATTTAATTCTGCTTATATAATAAAATTTTATTCTCCAATTAATATTAAGCGGGAATTTTAATACATATTTAATTTGAGACTTGTTTAATTATTAAAATATCTTATTGTCATTGAAAATATGTATATGAGTTACGAAAAATCTTTATTTAGATTTTTGTTAAAATAAAATATAAACTCATATTAAATGTTGCATATTTTCGCTCTATCTATTTTATTTTTTTAATTTATAATATGCGTCATTCTTTTAAATAGATATGAAAGTATTAGATCATTCTATTAAATAATACGATTGCAATACATCGGATTACTTTCAGTTTGCAATATAGTTAGCGGATTAGCGAATGTTACTACGGTATTCCCAGATGAAACAAATACCTCGTTCTGTCTCTATCTATTCTGATTTATGTGAGTAGGATGCGAAATCTATTTGCTACAAAGAGGTTTATAATTGCGCGTTGAATCAACAACGAAGCTTAGTTGCAGAGGTTGAGCACGCTGTAATTATGTGCCGCATGAAAGATGGCATGCGCGGCACGGTTAACAAAGGAAGCTGCCTCTGCCATTCGTGCTGTCTTATCAGTGCGCACGATCACTGACAATGATATATTTTATCCGCGATTTTGCACTGAATTACGTAGCTCAGACTGTCATCGCCCGTACGATCGTTTTATGAATATATATAGAGATGTCACGCAATCGCGTTAGATTTTCGTCGCCCGGCTGTTCCAAGTGTAAACGACCGAACGAGAATAAAACATTTTTTCTTCTCTTGATAAGAACTGAGAGTTGTTTTTGCGCGATGTCATTGACCGTCTGTGGCCGGGAAAAGACGTGTCGTTCTGTCATAAAATTAGCATAAGATAATCGAAGTCGTGAAAAGTCCTTTAGAAGAAGTTTTGTTTCTTAGAATCACTACAGAAGTAGTAGTTTGAAAATTTTTCAGTTATTTTTAATTCTGCCACGCGATATATACAGTTTCCCAGGAAAAGGAAATTAATTCATCTGATTCGCGATAAAAGAAGTTAACTTTACGTTTTCTCTGGTTGTCTCTTTCTACAATAATCAACTCAATTATAGTTATACTCCTCGTGATTATCATGTTATCAATGTTATGTGGATTATCAGATAGTTTGGAAAATTTAAAAATCAAATTTTTTAAGAGCGGCCGCTTCTTTCCTATTATTTTTTTCAAAGACGATGAGCAATTAAGTTTGTAGCCGTTTTCACGGTGCATCGTCAGTGAATACTAGTTTGTGACTATATCGTCAATGATTCATCATTGGAGTGTATGCGAAAATTGAGAAGCAGAAGAGCAGTCAAGCTCTTGCAGTATTACGAAACGTAACTTGATAGACGTGATCCGCGAAACATCAGCCCGAATTTCCTCTCCCCTTATACCTCCTCCATTTCGGATAGCTGTAACCAATGCTCTGCTTATGATTGCGAAATAGCGTACATCCGACAGGATGCGCCGACAGTTGCATAACGCTACACGTAGCGTGAACCGTACTTATTAAAAGTCGGTAAGTTTCTGGAGGCTCTTCGCGTTGCGTCAACGCTATCCTTCAGCATGTTACACAGCAACACGACTGGTCTATACTGGAAAAAATTTATATATTTTTTTTACGTGGATTACCGAGAATAATTAACTTGAGACTTTACGACTTCTCGTTTATCAGAATCATGGTAAAAAAAATATCCAGGGGCGTCGGTCGACGTAAAAAGTTGATAAATCGATTGCAACAGAATGCCAACCTTGATGTTAGAATTAATAATCCTAGAGATAATATATTTATCACTCACCGTAATAAAACGGAAATGTTATTTATAGTTAGCATTAAATGAAAGGATTGGCTCATGGACATGGAGAATAATAATTCTCTTTTAGTGAATTGATGAATCACTATTGTATCCATAATTAATTACAGAAAATATGGTTAAAAATAGTTAAAAATTGTAAAATGGCTAGATCCATCTAAAAAAAGAAATAATGAGATGTCAATAACGAAATAATACGCCGATATGATGTAGCTGCGTCATCTCGTGGAACGAGATTTAAATATATATGTCTCTCTCTCTCTCTCTCTCTCAATATTATATTTACGGAGTCGTTACACTGTCGTTTCATTTTTGTCATCGAATAGAATCGTTCTATCGTATTTATCCTGTCGGGAGATATTCAAGGACATATGTCCGTCCGGATGTATGCAACTCTTAATGATATGTTGTTCGCCAAATTATTATCGGTCCGAAGATTAGATTGCAACTCGACGTTACAAAGTCTTGGAAAATACATACCTCGGTCAGTTACACACAACGCTCTGACACACACTAACTACCCCGTTCGCAATTAATACAGTCGATCTTCCATCACTGATTATGAGAAATATCATTAATACAGACGTGACATTAAAAACAATTCTACTGAAGACGGCAATGGAGAAGAAAAATGCATCAGCCTACAGGGCTATAGATCTTGTTTCCTGTAGGAACACTCGGCCACTCTGTTTAAAGAATTGTTTTTATGAACAGCTGCGTTGAAATATGTGTTCCAATTTTTCTTATCGCATGACATCAAGGTTTCATTCAATGCGACGAAACCCTGCAAATCAGTCAACTCGAACTCTTCACGAGGAAGGAACAAACACGTTAGAGCATTACGTTCGTAATTACTTTGAATTGATAGATGCTATCATACCAAATTTATTCGCGGTTGTTGGTAATTATGGTGTTACGATTCCATGACTTCCGCGATGACATATTCCATTATTTTTGTATATACCGTTTTGCGTATTATGCGGATTTTTATACTTTAATTTTTTCCACAATTTTAATGAATATATTTTAAGACGAATGTAATGATCTCTTAATGTTTTAAGGTGTATATATATATATATATATATTACTTTTATTAATTTATATATTTAATTATTAATCATTTTTATATGTTCAATCAAAAAATTAACTATATGCGTTCGAAATATTTTTATACATATAGAATGTAAAAAATAATATAAATATACATAAATGAACTATCATTATTACACATTTGTAATACATGACGCCAATATTAGTTATTTAAATGTAAGTGATAGTTATACAAATATCTTTATTTATCATAATTTTACCTGAAAAATATATATTAAATATACATGTATATTAAAATTAATAATTTATAAAAATAATCTTACAATGGCTCAATAATAATAAACAATAATAATAAATAACAAGAAGAGGCTACGAGCCAGATTTTTATGTATTTCAAATTCTTAGAACATACGTTTCGATCTTATTATTAGATCATCCTCAATATAAAGAAATTAAGTTCACACCCCGTCGCTTGCTTATCTCGAGAGGAACTTAATTTCTTTACACTGAGGATGACTTAATAATAAGATCGAAACATATGTTCTAAGAATTGAAATACATAAAAATCTGGCTAGCCCTTTCTTGTTATTGTTTATTGTTTATTGTTTAAAAATTTATGATTAAGATTAGCAAATTTCTGTAATCTATCTCGTAACAATCCAATACTTCTTTTTATAAATAATTACTAAGTTTTTGTACAATTTCATTATTTTCTGCATTTCGAAGCTAAAAGTATCTTTGAGATTCTCTATCGCAGTTCTCTCTCGCTATGCTCACTCTTTTATCATTCTAATGATGAATCTGTTCAGAACTCTGTAACAATACATCTTTAACTACTAAAAAAATTTATGGCAGAGCCATAATTCATAAAATGTTTCTTCGCAAGGTCGTGCCTCTTCTGATTTATGTGTATTGGCGCAGGTTTTTGATAACGTGAAAACTCACGGTCTCAACACTACAAAAACGACGATAAAACAATGCCTGCAGTTGCAATATCTTCACCACATATACGGTGATTCCAAAATGTGATACTTTTGACTATGAATACTTTCAAAGTCTTTTACATTGATTTTCTATAGAAAAAATTCTATACAAAGTCATCATTTATTGCAATCTTCTAATTGCTTATATTTCATGTTTCAATTAAGTCAGAAGAATGTTAAAGCGAAGATTATTTCAAGATTAGAAAATTAGATCTATTTTACATTATTTTAAAATTTAATTTGGCAAAAATCTGTAATTTTGAATTGCTTAGTAAGCAAATAAATAAAATCAATTTTTAAATTAATTTATACTATTTGCGTGCATTTATAATATTTGCAATCGAAAAGAAGGTTTCGCAGTGACACTCTGTATTGCATTTATCGTAGTTTGCAGCGAAACGAATGTATCTAGGACGCGCGACGGCACGTATCGATATAACTTCTCATATACTCGTGTTCTCGTTTAAAATCTATTGCCAAAAAGTATTTCTTTACGTTATCGCTTCAGGAGAAAAATATATTTCTCTCACGCGCAAACAATTATCGCGTGTTTGAGAAAATTGTAAAAATTGCAAAAAT